GGCCTTAATGTTTTTTATTCGTGAAGTAATTTATTATGATACACTTTAGATGCTGTTATAAGACGATTAGTTAGTAATTTTTTGAAAATAAAAGCTGACACAGATTTAGGTGCCCAAATTATATTTGTTTTGTGTAACAAAGTTTAAATATATATAATCCCCCACCCTCTTTTTTTCGATCGTTTAAAAAAATATATAAACATAATTAACATACACAAATTTAACCATAAAATATGTAGAAATTGTTTGTTACAGATAGTCTAGACTGTTGAGTCTGTAAAAATAGAAAAGAAGATGTATTTTTTTCATAATTTGAAGGGACTCGGTTAGAATTTAAACATTTAAACATGGATTCAATTATTAGTATTATGGTTTAAAATGTCATGGGACTCGATTAGTATGTACATTAAATCAACCAAGGCCTCAATTGAGATTGTAAAAAAATTATTGGGACTCAGTTCGTAATCAGCCTTGAAATTAGTACCTCTTAAATTACTCAAAAGTTCAAAACCCAACATTCAATAATTATTTACTTCTAGTTAAGTTAATGATTATAACAAAAAAAATAAGTTTCTGAAGTTCTGATTCATTTTGTATATTATTTTACTGTTACCCAATTGTATTAATATATATTGTAAATTCATTATTGTAATATTATTTCTATATTATATTTCTTTAGGTGTTTCTTTTTTTTCCGAAAAATACCCTACAGATTTTGAGATAAGTACACTTTCAAGGATTTCGCACGCGATTTTAACTAGCAGATAATACGACTTATGAGTTATCTACACAATTTAAATTTGAACTCGACCAATCAACGGTAATTGTATTCAAAATATTGTTCTAGTAATTCAAGCTTGACAATTATCCATTGACGCTGACATTATGTATCAATTATGTATTATTTTAATTGTATCACTGTGTTTGAAGGAAATAAAGCATGTCAGATTCACGAACGATATTAGAGAAAATTCACTATAATTATTATCACCCTTGATATCATACCTATCATAATTATTTTTAATTTTCACAAAATTGCATGTATATAGTTCATAATTGTAAAAAATCGAATCTTATGCTATTCAATCAGAATTTCCATACTTATTACTGTAAAAAAACTGCATTTAAATATATTGATATTCCACGGAGATACTAGGGGTGATACCGGACTTATGGGGCATACTGTAAACATAATAAAATTCACTATTATTCATAGTCACGTACGGATATACAATTGTTTGTCGAGTTACCTAGTATAGTTGCATAGTTGCCATAAGAAACTACATTATACATTCTAAATACTATAATAATTATATCTAAATGTGATTTAATATATACGAGAGTTACGCACATTAGAATAGCACAAATGTGTGTCTGATATTTATATTGTATACAGTCACATGCATGCGTACTATTTTTTTATTTTGTGTAAATAATAAACGTGCTTAGGTACATGTTTTGTGGATTATTGATTTTAAAACACGTTTATTTGTAATCACTGTCTGTTTTCAAATTTTGGGACATAAAAATGTTGGATTTCAACATTGCGGTGGTTTCAACCGCATAGGCGCCAATAGATCTCTAAAACATGGGTGCTATAATTGTAAAAGTCTTCAATCACATAGACGTGGGGCTTTGCCTCACACACCCACAATTACCAAATACATAATCTACAATTATAATCTGCAATATCATCCTTGAAAATTGTTAAAAACATTTCAACACACTTCAATATATGATAAACAAATACATTGTATGACTTATCTCATTATATAAATAATACATACGTATTATGTACACGTGCCAGATCGCAATTAATAACAAATATATCATGGTATTGGCTCCCATGCAAACCCGCTATATAGGTACACGAACGCGATGGTTACTATATGTATCTGGAAACAGTCACTAAGGTACATGTACAGAAATAATATTCCAAACTACTATGGAGACGGACTGGGAAACCAACGCTGTCCTCTTATACACTGACGAGGTTCCAGTCACACTGACCAGGCGGCGGGCATGGTTCCTTCAAGAGCTACGAATTATTGACTTTTTTTTGGGGGGGGGTTGAGGCTTCAACTACTGTGGGTATTAGCCTGTGGAACTGTAGGGGGGTGGAAAACGTGTCTGCTTGGCTGATTTTTTAGTGTGCACCCATAGACATATCCAGACCTAACCCGTAGGTAGGTGCCATGCCCGGGTGGGGGGATGGCAGCACTTTTTCTCCGGACACCGTGATTTGCCCGAAGAAAAATGCAGCTCTCGGACGGGGATCGAGCCGGCATCGGCTGCTTCGCAACAGACGCCTTAGACCGCTCGGCCACTCCGTCCCCCTATTGACTTTTATTTAAAAAAAAAACCATAAATGAATGATCTATATATTATATTCATCGCAATGATAATTTTGTTTATACAATAGTATTGAAACAAGTGAAATTAAAATTTAAGTTGATAATATTATTATGATAAATTAATAATCAATGCACATGTGGAGTAACGATAACATTATATATATTATTGAGACAGTGGCTTATATTATTATTATTCATCTTGTTTAATTGATAACAGCTTGTCTGATAGATACTGATGAAGGTTACATTGACGCCGGAAGCGTGTACATGTGTATATGTAAGTTATAACATATAATATATAATTTAACAATCTATAAATTAAATTATAATAACATTAATATGTATATTATCGTTTATCCTAACAGTGTGGGCGGTATGTTAAAGATATAATTTTCTGAGATTTAGCAACGATGTAGGTACATGGTTATAATAAAGCAGGGTTACAAGTTTATGCCACGGCTTCCTATTCCGAAAAAAAAATGTCTCAGTTACAAGGGAAATCGAAAAAATAAATATTTTGTTGGCTCATATCGTTTTATAATATTTTGATAACATTTTGTAACACTATACTGTTTGAACATTCTTATCATTATATTATCATTACGTATAATTTTAAATATATACCTAGGTAAAAGGTAGCTAGACAAATGAACGGACTATATTGTTTCAAAAATTAAATGTAAAATATATTTAAAGCGTTATGATTTTGCAATAACGCAATAACATAACACAAATATCACGGCAAAGTCCATTTAACGTAGTGGAATATTTATTTTTTGAACAATTAAAGCAGACAATCTGACACACTCGTTTGTCCGTCACGTCACACTCCAATTGCCAAATTGCCACTATTAATATACAGTTAAACCTCTATATGTATATAGTGGAGTGTCACGGGGAATTTAAAGCCGCCTATAATTAGGAAATATTTTTTTGAAAGTTAATTGCTGTAGATAGGTATACGAATATTATGTATTATAACTTATAAGTATTTACGCCAAATTACTAATAAATTTTTATAAGAATGTCTTATTCCATATATTTAAAAAAAAAATTTTCTTTTGTTTTTGTCCATTAAATAGTTCTCGTGCACTATTGTATAATATAGCGTTGTATTTAGTTGTCTAATGTCTAATAACATTTCGATTATAATATTTTTGTAGCTGGTAAGTTGAATAAATATTATAAAATTACAAAAAAATTACGAAAATAGTTATTCTTAGTTATTTAATATATAATTTCCTCCATATTTTAAATGTGAACATAAATTAACTATAAAATAAAACTGTGTTATTATATTTCTTAGATTTTTAGATTAAAGAATAACCTACTTACGTGGAACCTTGTTTTAAATATTCAATCCTTAACTATAAAAGTCGAACATTTTTAACAACAAAATGATTTGTACATTTTCAATTTGTTAAATTAAGGCCTCTGCAAGTGTGTCATTTTTAAGGAGTTGTGCTTAGGCAATTATTTCGTTCCTCGATTACTGATCGTCCTTGTGTGTGTAGTAAATGATCATTAGTGTGTGTATACTCCCCTACCATCAGCCACGACCAGCATCAATTTACAATACATTGTTATTTCTTATCTGGTTTATAGTCGCACGCACTCATAAGCACAAGTCATTTAATGTCTAGATCAAAATATTCAAAACCAATTTATGGACGTGAAATAGCCGTCGCACTGCCCAAAATTAAGGTACTTCTAGTGGTTTTATTTAAAAAATGTAAAGATGTTTGTGTTGGAAAACAAGTTTACTTTGCATCGGTCCGAAAACTTTTACAATTTTATAAATTTGTAAATTTTTAGTATTGAATATATTCAAAAATATCTAAAATATAAAAAATATGCACCGATGCAAAGTAGACTTGTTGACCAATCAAAACATCTTGACATTTTTTAAATCGAACCACTAGAATAATTACTTTAATTTTTGTCAGTCGCTAAGGTCGTTTTGATGAAAAATTAATAGGGTTTGCTGGGGCCTCAACCAAATTTTTAAATTATGTAAAACCGCATAAGTATCGGCTCAGATGTTCAAATGTTATTGTATCACAAACACACTCAATGCCATTAAATTATAAAATGATAACATAAGTTTTAAGTAGATTTCATTAAATTCGTTACTCAGTTTTCGATTAGACTTCTTGCGGTAGTGCAGTAGCTATTTTTTCTGATTTTCCGTAGTCCACACTTGTATTTGAATTTGATTACTAATGATTGCGTAGGTAGGGTTGAATGCAAATTACAAATTGCATACAATATCGCATACATGTTTACAAGTTACATTATGTTTATTACATGTAAAACGCTTGGAGATTGTCGTTTTAGATTCTAAGGGGAGCAATGACAGTATTGATTTTACAATAACGTACGTTTTTTTTGTTGTCCGTAAACGTTTTTTCTAGTAGACATAATGCTTCGATTTCCAACTTCAGCATCTCTTCTGATGGGTTAGGGAATTTAGTTGGTACAAACTTTAGAGGTTAAATTTAAAAATTCACAGCAGTTTTCAAAAAATAAATAAAAACGAGGCCTAACCACTTTTCTACAAAATCTTGTTTTTTTTTTTTGCATAACTAAATCCATTGCATAGGACACTTTACTATTTACACTGGATGTTTACTACAGCGGCCGCGGATGGAATCAACGAGCATCTCACCAAAGCATGCAGCGCTTCAATGCCACCAAGACGACCAGGCCCTTATAAGAGCTGCAGTCACTGGTGGTCCGAGGACATTGCGGAATTGTGCCGAACGGCGGTCTTCTCCCACTGCAGACGGAGGTACCAAGCAAAAATCTGGAGAAATGGACCAAATGGTAGCCGTGATGCAAGGATTGAGTATACTACGGTGAGGAGGAGTCTGTGTCTAATATCATGTTTGAATAAATTATAAAACAATTAACTAAACGAACAAAACTTTAAAAAATAGTCTTACTGAGATTACTGTATTATTATACTGAGAACGTTACGCAATTTTGACTGACAATGCCATTTAAAAATTAAATTAATATTTTACTACCTATTGAAATACGAATAATAATAATAAATTAATACTATAAATTATATTACAGTTGTTAGAATGTTATATAAATTTACAGCCAACAATAAAAAATTTAGATTATTATTTTATTCAATATTAAATCTGTCGGGTAAAAGTAATATTATTTCCGTTGAGTGATTTTGTATGATTTATTTTTCACAAAAACCATTTTCTTATCTAACTGATATAATTTTATGATTAATCGATGAATTTTGTTTTCATATACCTATAATTTGTTTCTGGCAATATAGTTAATAATAATAATATTATGTAAATTCGAGTAGAAATTAATGATAAATATATTATTAGTATTATTTATTAGTGTTTCGTAAATTGTAGTAGGTACCTATCTGATATTATATGAAAATATGTTTTATCAAAGTACATTGTAACGATCCCGATTAAATGCTATAATATTATGAAATTTAGTAAATATTGGTTTTCGTTTGGTTTAGTTTAGTTTAGTTTAGGACTTGAATAGAAAGAGTAGATACATAATATTTATACTGTTGTATAAAAATCAATCACCATTACACACCAAACGTGTCGTTGTATACATACAATATCCACTATTAAAATGTATGACTAATGGTTATTAAGGATCATTATGCGTGATTATATCATTACCAAATCATAATATTGTCAAGAGGTATTCATAATCCCACACGAGTATAATACTATATTTATTGCGAGCCATAAATTATAAATATTTCTTTAACCTCCGTCGTTTAAATTTATTATTTATCCATTCAATCTGATTCTTATATTAGCTAACCCATTCGTATATTAAGATCATTATGTTTACCCATAGAAAGAAAGTTATAATAAGTAGGTACAAATTTGGAAATAAAATACATTTTTAAGTTAATTCTACAATTTATTTGGATAAAAAAACATGACAATATATGGGCGCATGATATTATTCTGTTTTCTATCAGGGACTGATCTATGAATGAAACTGGTGGTGAGCAATTTATACACCTATATAAGTTCTATAAAATATATAAATAAACTCGTAGCTTAAACAAGTGATAACATAGACATTACTTAAGTATTGTTGGTACTGATAGATGAGAATAATTAGTATATTAGTATATTATACATTTATGTGAGCTTAAAATACCAATGTACGATAGATAATTATTGAATAAATTATAATAACTTTATTAACGGAAATAAATTCTAATTTCATTTTTACAGCTACACTGTGACAGTAAGATAATAGCTCAAAATATTATCTAAAATAATATTCATGGAGAGGAGTTTTCTCCCCTGTTTGTAATTTTTATCAGCCACTATTCACAATATAAGCTTGGTTATCACAAAAGTGTTTCAAAGACAGTATATATAGTTATATTTAAAACCTACATATATCTGTAATATATTGTATGTATCAATTAAAAATATATGTTATTATTTTACATATTTTACATATTGAATTTATACCAAATGGCAAATACACCGATGTTTATAATTTATATACCTGCCCGGGCTGCTGCATACCAATAAAATAATTATTTTTCAAAAATCTCAAACTTGAAATACATTTTTCAGGATTTTATCAGATTATTAATAACTATAGAAAATAATTGACTAATTTTTGTGTGTTAAATTTATTTATTTTTTTTTTTAAATTATGCTCATAGGAAATAACTAAGAAAACGACATACTTAAAATACCAACTGGATGATTCAACCCCCCTCCCACTTCACACCACTTTTTCTTTAATAAAGAATTTATTATACTATACGATATTTTGGTTAAGTATAGGTACATATTCAGAAAAATGATCCGTTAAATAATTTACAGAGGGAGTTCTCATTTAAAAAGCAGAAAGTGATCTTCATAGGTGATCACTCCTAAAAACACAAGAATTTGAAAATATGGTCTATAATAGTATAGTTCCAAAGATCAGATTTTTAATTACTACATAGTTGAAGAAAAAAAAGAGGAGGGGGCATGGTTGGTGAATCACTTTGTATATTATTACCTATATATATGTATATATAAGAAAATACCTATACCTATATCCACTGTGTGTTCAGAATCAATATAAGTAGCTATCGGTAATAATAATTTTACTTGCAGACATTTTCCTCAAAAATAAGGTATATGATAGTGTTTAAACTCAATATTCCCGGTGGTGTCTAAAACCGTCTATGTAAAACGTGCAAATATAAAATGTTTTAGGTATTTTCATTTTTCTCGTTCGGTTGGCACTTATGGTATTGTATAATATTATAGATAGACACTGCGCAGTATTCGGACAACTGTTCTAACATAATAACGTAAATGCTCACTGAAACGGACACTGTCAAATATAATATTTCTTCGGCAAAAACTTAATGAACTGTAACGTTAGAATTAATGCGGAAAAGGGGACGAAAAGGGTTGTGTCCCTTGTCAACGTCCTCGGGGCGTACCGAAAAACAACAATACAAATGTTTCGCATGTAATAGCTAATAAGTTTCGAAAATTGAGCACCCTTCATGTTTTTAAATGCAATATCCGCCTACAGTTTATTTCAACACCGCCGTGGCCATTACTTCAACGGCCCCTGACTTTTGAACTCGCGATTTTATCTAGTACGTTTTACGCCACCACCGATGTGAAGAGTGTATTAATTCTACACCATTAGTTCAATGTTTATAATGCAGACAAAACTCTGTTAGGTCACTTTATAAGCACGTATAATATATATATATATATATATATATATATATATATAATTATATATAATATGAATGTACATGATATTGCGAGCGCGGTGTAAATGTTGCAGTGTTTAAACAAAAATAAAATAGTAATAGTAATAAAAAGATAAAGATAAAACATGCGACCTAAGAAATTAATATCGTAATATTTTAATTTTAGAAATACTAAATGTCTTGATTATAATATAGCATCCAAGTATAATGTATTTTGACGAGGTGCAGTAAAAAAAAAAAAAATGTCTTTTTAATTGTATTACATTAAACGTTTTTTACGAGACCGTGTTATTATTTTTAGTAGTATAATAAAAGAAAAAAAAGTAATTTACGCCATTATGTAACAGCACTAATCTATTTAAAAATAATACTATACTATACCCTAATAGCCTTTGACATTAATTTTATAATTAAATACGGGATTAGGTATTTATTATTATGATTATTATTATTTTTTTTTTACCTCTATACGCATCATTACCCCGGTGAAAATAGCTTTGCGTTATATTTTTGCCCGGTAATTTTTTTCACTCAAGCAATTTTGATTAAACTATGGAAATTCAGTTTAAAATACCCAACAAGTAATAATATTGTATATTTATGCACAAGACATTTAGCCCGTACATCATACGTCATGATACATGTTATAAATGTAAGTAGGTAGGGGTATACAATTTATTATTTAATATGTATAGCAAGTTCCATATAATTCAACTGTAATGCACTATAACTGCTAATGTGAAATGTCACTGTACCTATATATTCTGTGTACAAATGTATAATATGATATTATATCCATTTGTGTGAGTTCTGATATAAATTATTATTGCGAGCAATTTAAGTTAATGTTCTATGTTCAGAGATAAAATTTACGTGGAAGATATTATTATTTCGTAATGATTTAGACAATTTTCGCTCATTATGTTTGTACAGTTATAGTAGGTATAGCGTAAAATAAATATATACTCGTACCTACATAAATAACCCGAATAAATTAAGTAGTTATTACGATGGTACACAAACTACAATATATATTTATAATATAATATATATTATGTGTATATTATTATAGTCCTTGGCACAATAACGAACATTAAAAACTGTAAAAGTATATAATATTATTAAGCATTGGGGTGAGTTGAGACTAAATCGTTTTATTTTTTTTTGTTATAACTAAAAAATGGCAATAGTAATTTTTACCAGATATACCTAAATATTAGCATTTTATGTATAATATTATGATACAATTTTCAAATCATTTTGAAACATTGTTGAGTTATTTGTAGCCATACATTGAAGTCATATTTTTTTTTAGATTTTTCCCTAACAATATTGATACAAATTAAATTTAATTGCTGGATAAAAAAGTATGGGAATTTAATACAAGGATCGCCAAAAGTAGTTATAATATCAATCTAAAAATATTATAGGTACATGCACAACATTTTTTTATATATAAGAATTTGAAGTTAAAATTTATTTTGACAAAATTAGTCAATATCAGTGATAGGTACCTATATAGAGTATCACGAAAATGTTAAACACTATTGTGTAGTTAAGAGGATGTCAGCGCACCATTTGTTTTCTCTCTCTGACCCACGCGCAACATAGACAAAACGCATTTACGCAGAAACATTTTTTCTATGTTTTTAAGTAATCTTAGAGTAAAATCACCTATTACAAAAAAGATAGAGAATAATATTTTTGAGGGAATGTCATATCGATTTGTCTAAATATTGTCTCAAAACAATTTAAACATCATTTTAATGTACAACATTTTTTTGTTTATTTTGAAAGTCTAATACAAAGTCAAATAACAATAAAATATAAAATGGATATGACATTCCCTCAAAAATATTATTCTCTATCTTTTTTGTAATAGGTGATTTTACTCTAAGATTACTTAAAACATAGAAAAAATGATTCTGCGTACATGCGTTTTGTCTTGCTGCGCGTGGGCCAGAGAGAGAAAACAAATGGTGCGCTGACATCCTCTTAAACATTTATAAAATGTTCAATTTTTATAGCTAAGAATTGAATGTATGGTTTCTAAGATTTCTCATAGATAGGTTATATTTTAACCAAATAATCTAAAAAATGTATT